GCTTCCGTAATGAGTGGTATTATTGGAGGGGTACAAGCTAAAATTAAAAACATCTACGCAAATGCCCAATATATTCACTGCTACGCGTACCAATTAAATCTAATAATTGAAAAGTGTTGCTCAATAGATAAGGCTGTAAGATTTTTTTGCCAATCTCTCTGCATTTTCTGCTTACTTCTCCCACTCTACAAAAAGAACAAGCGTTTTGGATAGGATTGTAAAAAAACGGTTACCTCGTTCGGCTCCTACACGGTGGCATTTTACATCAAAGTATGTCAATACAATTTATGTTTATAAAGGGGATTTAATTAAATGTCTCGAAGAAATTATGGACACAGAATTCGATAAAAAAAAAAACGATTAATCAGACTAAAGGGTTGATAAATTTTTTGAAAGACATCGATTTTAATTTCTGGTTATGTTTTTTTAGCCAAATTGCGATATACTTTTTGATCAACTGTAGAGTAGACAGCTTGATGCTCTCAAGGTTAAGATAAACATATCAAATTTTGCAACAGCTATTCAAAATATTAGAAATAATATACACACAAAAATTCATGAAGAATGGCAATCACAACAAGACCCACAAGAACTAAACTTAAACGACAACACCCAATCAGGTCCAAGTACAAGCCAGAAGAGACGGTTTGTTGAAAAGGAGGACGCCATACCTAATTTAAGGATATGTAAGGAAATTTGTGATACAATAGTAGTGCAGGTAAATGAACGTTTTAGTTTTACTACTCACCTAACAATTGCAAGATTATTTGATAGTGAAAAATTTAAAGATTATCGAGGTTGTTTTCCAAGTGAGGACGTTAAAACTGTGTGTAGTTTATTTCTAGACGTTAACAGCTTAAAATTAAAAAACGAACTGTCCATACTTTACACTCGAGATGACTTTGTGCAACACCGTTATTACAAATGTTTTTTGAAAACAATTTGACAATTACATTTTCGGAATCTGTGGAGCTGCTAACTATCCTGTGTACAATTCTAATGAACACAGTGGAGAGTGAAAGATGTTTTTCGACACTAAAACGTATTAAAACATTTTTAAGGAACACTATGTGCCAAGGTAGATTGTGCGCGTTAGCCATGTTATCCATCGAAAAAAAAAACTTATTCGGTCCATTCCAAATTTTAATAATCTGGTCATCGATCACTTCGTTAGCCAAAAATCCAGAAAAATGGACTTCAACTATAAGAAATAGTCTACAACTGCAGCGGTACCCAGCAGTAAGTCTTCAATTTTGTAATATTTATTTTTTTTTTCTAAGGGAAAAACGAATCTCGGGATCTCTTTCCAGTGTGTACTCCACTGCCGCTAGTGCCCACGAGCCGCCACTGGTAAAAGTAACAATCTGAACAAAATCAATACAAAAATTAAATGTGAGACATGAATATACAAAAAGTACAGTGACTATTACTTCCCTGACTAGGCTGTTTTTGTCTTTAACGATGCAATACTGCCACTCCAAACGACTTGAAAAAGTTTGTACTAGAACAAATAAAAAAACAGTTAGATCTCTGCGTGTACCAGGAACTTTAAACTTATCTTCAAAATGTTTATCACATACTAAATAGTTTTTACAATTTTGTTATTTTATTCTTGAAAAACGGACTGCGAACAGACAATACTCAAATTTGAAATAAATCGTTATTAGGATTTCAGAGTGTTTACAAAACAATTTGGCATACAACAATACGAGATATTACAGCTTTTATTACTAAAAATGACCACAAAAATTTAAAATAAACTCACAATCATCAGCAAGATTAAGTAAACAAATTGAATATTAAAAACAATTGAACAAGACCAAGTTGACAAAACTATAAACAATAATTTACAAAATACTTACTATTTATTTATCCAGGATCCAGAGCACACCCAAATACAAACAAATAATAATTATTGACAATATGATATTATTGATAATCACAATAAATACAGGTAATGGCAAATGCCATTCACCGGGAGGTAATGGATGCCTGACCAATGGCAAATGACACTTCCACTTTTTCCACCATTAATTGTAGATTTCTGTAAATTGTGTGTACAGCGCCCTCTAGAATTAGTTCTTTGAAACTAAAACATCGTTTCAGTTCGGGCTATATCAGTTACCGATACCTGGGGGTCGATTTTCGACTTTTATTTATTTTCCCATGGGAATTCAGTTTTCATATTCTCGACATAAGCGGTGGAATATTTTCCAATGAGAAGTATATGAAAATATTCCCCTGCTTACGAGCATTGGAAATTGTGTTTTCCAATGGAAATTGTACTAGAGTTTGCGCATTAATGTCGAAAATTTGACGAAAGACTGACTAAGACATATCCAAACATTATTGGATATCTTGGATTTTTGGTGAAATTGTAGTTAAAAAAATTTTTGGCGTATTTATAAATTGATTTTATTTTATTTATGTGGGTATATTATTTTTACTTCTCTTTTACTAAGAAACTGTATGAACTGATTTTCCTAAATCAGTTAGAAATTGTGGGAGCTGCTTTAGGGACTGGCAAATAACACAAATTGGGAAATTTGTAGTAAATTTAATAAGACCTTCACGAAAATTTTATTATTTCCGTTAACGAAAGAATTTCTTAATTTCTCGAAACTTTCGTTGCTCTTCCATACAAAAGCTACTTTTTTTTTCAACATGTGAAAAGAAATACTAAGAATAACTCGACAAGTTTTAATTATACATAATCGAATATTTTCACTTGTTCCTTGGTCATGCTAGCGATTGCTCGACACGGCACCTGCTCCAGCGCGGAGGCTCGGCAGGTAATCGGTTACCCAAAAACCACAACAAATACAAATAATGCCACCAGTAAATTTTAAACTATCTTTAATGTTATTGGTTGTTTCGAAATATTCGTGGACTTAATATCAGACATACGTGAAACTACTATTTCCATGGGAATGTCTATTCCGACAAGTTCGATAATTGCTAACCTATTACCATGGGAATATAAATAGTGTAATCTTTTCCCATGGGAAAATTTTCCTATGAACTCGAGAATCGAGCCCCTGAACTATACTGTACAATTTAGTGGTCGGATACTATCGACAGTCGGCCCTATCGATAGTCTCAATAGTTACTATCGATACTATACCAACGTTGATACAAGGTTGATACGTTGTCAAGTAATATCTGGTAATACAGTTTACTTATAGTTGAAATTTTAAGTACCCACCTGTACCTACTTTTCATTAAAAAAAAAATATTTGGAATTAAAAAATTTACATTTAAAAAAACCAGCAAACATTAGTAAGCAGACACATAAGAAAACAGGAGGAAGCACGACCATTCTATGAATAGAGTACTCTCCTACCATGTGTTACGGGTTTATTGCATAATAATATTTGATTTATTAAAATAACGATTTGTAGTAAAAGACAAGATTCTTAAAGGAACAAATGTACTTACGACTATCAAGATGTGATGAATAATCCAAATTAATTTTCTTAGTAGTTCATTTAAAATATAAATAAAATAGTTTAATCCTCAGACGTCATTTAATAATAATAAAAATAAATAAAAACATTCTAAGTGTGATTATGTTTACATAAATAGTTCTAATGTATAGGGCACAGATCACTTAAGTATTCTTCTTCTACTTGGTTCTTCTTTTACCAGTACTGCCTTTAATGCTTCTAAGCACTTGACTTAAGTGGCTGCTTAACCGCTGGGATATGGGTCTTTATTTCTTCCATAATTTCTCTAGAGTGTTTATCTCTCTCTCTCTCTCTCTCTCTCGTTTTCTCTCTCTTGTTCCCGCTTCTTTTCCTGGCTAACCTAGAGACGTGCACGTGGTGCAATTTCGTATTTTCCGCATTTAATTAGCCTGAAAAGAATAAATTATTATTAGGATTAGTTACTTATATCGAAGAAGATATATACACACTCTTGTGGATTACATTTTCTTAATTAATTTTAAAACAAACTTATGAGGCCCAACTCCAACAGTGGTAAGTTATAGACAGAAACACATGTTTGAAATAAATGTATTCGCAATATATAGTATAACTGCTTTTTACCCAAGCTAACTGTACCTAATTATATTTTAGACCTTTTTAGACTACCTCACTCAGCTTTTGCTTACCTAGCGATCTAAGCTATATCTCCCGCTGCTTTGAGCTAAGTAAATAGCTAAAGAGTAGCTATTAGAATACAGCTACCCCTACTCGCTTCCTGGTCCCGGTAAAGCTATATATATATGCACTTCATAGGCTGCTAAAGTACCTGAAATTGCTGAATCAGTGCCTATCAGATTAAGATGGTAAAGTTACTTACCAGTTCAATTTAGAGCCATCCAGAAAACCTGAAGAGTGTTCTTCTTCATAACAAGTAAGATTAGTTTAGTTTATCAAGCATCCGGTGGTACCCAGTAAACCAATTAAAGGAATCAACTGGAGAAGTAAAAACATACTGTATACAGTTATAGTTTAATATTTTTATTAATATTTATATGCAATATTAATTACTGTAAACCACAGTTAGTACTAACCTTGGGTAATCGATATAAGGTAGCTTACCTATTGAATTTTATACAATTTATTTAATATTCTTGATATTGTCTAACATAACTTCAGAATACTACAGATACTTTGTTTAATTGAAATATATTTCTGAAAGATCTCTTCTCAGTACGAATTCGTTTATTTGATTGTAACCTATCAATTAACCGGGTAATTTAAGTAAATGTAAAGAACCTACACTGTTAACCCTCCCTGTCTTTAACCAAGGGGTTAATGAGAACACATGAAGGAAGGATAATTAGGACGGCATCCCGGCTAGACTTCGGTAAAACACTCCCATTTGTTCGCACGGATCAAACATTAATTTTTGGTGGAATTTCTAGTATTTTAATTCTTTACAAATTACTGTATTATTAATAAGGCAATTTATTGTCACGGAGATGTGTTAAGTTAAATTAATTATACATTTAATTTTATTCATTGTAAAATATTTACATATATAAACCAATCGGTTAGTAAGTATAACTGTGTAGTAATTAGTATAGTTTCCACTTAAGAGGATATATGTGGCTGTTTATTTACTTTATAATATTACCAGAATGTAAGTAATTAGCTGTATATATATCAAATTTTGAATTTACACCCTTCAAAATTACCTGGGGAACAAATTAACATACTTATAACTTTTAAACAGTGAATTTTTTTTGCAAAATATTACTAGATTATCAGAAAAACAATTAATGTTTTATGCTAACAAATATGTAACATCAATAAACAATTTTACAAAGATACGAGATGCTCACGTTAGTTGTCATCGATTTTATTCGTGAGACTTCTGTCTCTATCAATTACCTACTTTTTCGAAAATACTTTTTTCATAATATGATGATCATTCCAATGAAAAGTACTTGTCATTTATACAGGGTGGTTCATTGGAAAACGAAAATAAATTAACGGTATAATGTCCGTGAAATGTTGAATTTTGAATTTTTGCATATTGAAAAATGTGTCGCTTTTTGTTGTAAATTTGTTGCTGAATAAGAAAATTTGAATAATCCATGCATGGTTACTTGACGATCACCAATAATTTTAGAATAGCCAATTTTATTATTGTTTTACTATTTTTTTTTGATCATCAATTTAAGAGAGCAAAGGGTGAGGATTTTTTTAAATGACCAAACCCAGGCTCTGTCACGAAATGGCGCTTTTTTGATAAGCGCTATTTCGTGACAGATCCACCAAACCAAATATCTTCTATTCCTTTTGACCAAGGGTGGGCAAAACTTTCACCGCCCGCTTCCTATTCTTAAAATATAAAAATTCAAAAACTATTATTTATTTGTGATGAGTAACTACAATTCTAATTTTCAAGTTCCTACCTTTAAAAAAATTAATACTCCTGTTTCCCCTCCTTAAAATGTGAAAATTCAAATACCCTGTGGATCGTTACGATCCTATATATTTATTTAATTTTATTCTTTAATTTAATTATTGTATCCAAATAGGTTATTCGCGTCAAAATTGTTTTTACTTTATTCTTTATAAGTTATATTTGATGAACCTATTCCTAAACCTTATGACTCGCCTCTGGTTTTGCTTTTTCCGTTTTAATCATCTTTATCCAAAATCATGCTTTTGAATATTTGATGGAAATAGCCGAAGGACAGTACGAGTTTTGCGACAATCGGTACCACATCGAATACAAAATATCACCAATTGTGTTGGTTGCACGAGAGTTTTTTCCTATTTTCCAAAGAATCCGAACTATACCTTGGTAAGTCAATGAAATATTAATTTAATAATACGATTTAAATACAATAACAAAAAATAATTAATTAAACGCCACATGAATCAAGTTCTCCTAACATAAAAGCAGTCCACTCAATTTTTTACTTGATAACGAACCACCCTGAAATACGTAATTATTTACTTAGGATGAATAGCTACAATCCAATTTTCTAGTTCCTACTTTTAAAAAATCGATGCTCCCATACAAACTTTTCCTCCCGTTTCTATCCCTTCAAATGTGAAAATCCAGAATCCATGGAACACATTATTATTTATTTATGATGAGTAGCTACAATTCCAATTTTCAAGGTTCTACCTTTAAAAACCGATACTCTCATACAAACTTACACCCCACATCCCCCCCTTAAAATGTAAAAATCCAAAAACCCTGAAACACATCACTATTTATTTATGATAAGTAGCTACAACTCCAATTTTCAAGTTCCTACCTTTAAAAACAATCGATACTCCTATACAATGAGAATAGTAAAAGGGTAAAACATTTTTGTCTCTTCAAATAGTAAGCTTATGTCAAATAAACTTAAAATATAACGAAAGAATGTAATCTATTTCTATTAAAATAAAATTATTTATTTATTTTGGTGTGATCGTAGAAAAAATCTTGTATGTAATTGAAGCCGAAAGTCCTTTGGCAGTTTCTGTCTCAACTGCCAAAGTGCTACTTTCTGCTCTTAATAAATAAATAGCTTTTTTTTTGAAAGAGTAAAACCAAATTTGGTAGATTTTCACACTTTTATTTTAAAAATAATAATTAAAAAAAAAAAAACACTAACATGACATATGTTTCGAAGTACAACTTCTTTTTCAAATGTGACTATTTACAATTCGGTATCCAATATATATACGAAATAATTTAACAAAACAAAGTACTTAAGAAAACATCAATAACATTACAAAATAAACTATTTAAAGTAAATAAGGGTACTTAGGTAATTATAATATCCATCAGATAACAATAAGATAGCCCATTACCGGGATTATCTCACAGAAAACTGGGAAAGAGATTTAATAAGGGTGAATTATTAATATCTAATTGAACATTTAGTAAGTTATCTGAATTTTTAAATCTATTTATTTCAAGTGTTTCTAAATGGTTTAATTTAAGGCTCTTATTTTCTACATGTAAAATTTCAAAGTTGTCTGTAAAAGAATGATTTTCAGCTAAAATATGATTTAAGTAAGTAGAATTATTTTTGTTTTTTGTATAGCTATTATAATGTTCGGAATAGCGTTTTTTGAAAGTACGGCCTGTTTGACCAATATACAATTTTGGACAACTACCACAATTTAATTTATATACCCCCGATTTATTATTAGGATTAATTTTACCCTTATTGTTTTTAATATACTTCCCAAGCGTATTATTGGTTTTAAAAGCTACGTTAATATTTTGGTTTTTTAAATATGATGATACCTTTTCACTAGGAGCTCCTATATATGTAAGACTCTTATATCTGCAATTTGGATCTTTAATTATGGGATAAACTTGTTGAATAGCCTGTTTAAAAAGTTTTTTCTCTAAAATGTTGTCTACTAACTTTGAATTAAAATTATTATTTACTGCGATTTGTTTAATGATATTTAATTCTTTTGTAAAGTTCTCTTTGGTAAGGGGAATATTAACTAATGTATGGATCATACTGTTGTATGCTGCCAGCTTTTGTTTGTATGGATGAGATGAACTATTATTTATTGTAATATCCGTATGTGATGGCTTATGAAATATCCCAAAACTATGGCCTTTATTATTTTTAATAATATTTAAGTCTAAAAAATTAATTGAATTATCCTTCTCTGTTTCCATAGTAAATTTAATATTAGGGTGTATAGTATTGATAAAAACTAATAAATAATTTAACTGTCTACTAGTACCAGTAAAAGCAGTCAATATATCATCAACATATCTATGCCAATACAGACAATGTTTACTTAAATTATTGCTATGAATTTTATTTTCTATATTATCCATAAATATTTCTGCAAGCAACGGGCTTAATGGGTTTCCCATAATAAGACCTTCATTTACTCAGCAATTTAGAAACACTTGAAATAAATAGATTTAAAAATTCAGATAACTTACTAAATGATCAATTAGATATTAATAATTCACCCTTATTAAATCTCTTTCCCAGTTTTCTGTGAGATAATCCCGGTAATGAGCTATCTTATTGTTATCTGATGGATATTATAATTACCTAAGTACCCTTATTTACTTTAAATAGTTAGTTTATTTTGTAATGTTATTGATGTTTTCTTAAGTACTTTGTTTTGTTAAATTATTTCGTATATATATTGGATACCGAATTGTAAATAGTCACATTTGAAAAAGAAGTTGTAGGTACTTCGAAACATATGTCATGTTAGTGTTTTTTTTTTTTTAATTTTTATTTTTAAAATAAAAGTGTGAAAATCTACCAAATTTGGTTTTACTCTTTCAAAATTAAATGGATTTTCATCAAGTAAAGGCCGAAACAATAAATAATAAAATAAATAGCTATTTGGTATGTATATATCGGTAGTTATTTAATATTTAATCATTTAATTTTTTACGAAAAATACTGTTGGATGATTTAAAATATTAGGAAGTCAATTAAAATATTTATTTTTAGATTAGCCTACATTTTGTGTTAAAATATCGTTTAGCTTTCTTTTATTTAATTGAAATGAAAATAGACAAGCGTGTGCCAAAGTTAATTTGGTGAACGTATGAAGACTAGAGATAAGGAGACGAATCAGCATACCGTCGCTTGAGAAGAAGACTAAGTCCTTTTCTATTAGTTTTGAGTAATTCGCATTTGAAAGTTTTATTGCCCTATAATGAAGACAATTCTAGGCAATTTTTTGAGGTATGGTTTTTATTATATTTAGTTTATATATTATAAATAGTTACCTGAATTGGGACATACTGTTAAGAAAAAAAAAAAAAAAACAAAAATTGAGGACTTAGGATATATTGCTGAAATAACTTTTGACATAAACTATCCTATGTCCTTTATATCGGTACATAGGATAGTTTTGTATTCGGTTTTAAGTGTAAAAGAAAATTAAGTTAGGATATTTTTCTAAACATTATTTATTTTATTAGTTAGGACAGCAGAACTAATGGTAAATACAACTAAAAATAAAACAAAATATTATTTCAAAATGGCGTTATAGAAAAACATGCTAATCAAATAATTAATGAGTAACATAGGGATACAAATTCAACGCAATTATTCATGTGGTAAAGTCAAAAAAAAAGTCCTGATATTCCTTAGGAATTGCATTATTTTGGCAAAAGTAAAGCAGTGACTTGTACTTTTGTTGACTTAACGGAATAAGTCTATCTCGAACAATTTTTAATTCGTAAGTGTCAAATGATTGTAAAGGCTTTCGACACCGTTCTACAATATTCAATCCAATGTATTGTTCTTTTAGTTTGTATCTTATTTTTAAAATATAGGGATCGTTAAAATCAGCATTAACTGAAATTACATCAGAAATTCTAACCAGTGTACCATTCAAATCCCTCTCAAAATTTTTTGACGTATCCTCCAATAAAGCTTTTAGATCAAAGAAGTCGTTAAGATGCATCTCCTTAACGTAGTAAGGTTTTTTCTTGCAGGCTATACGAACTAAGAGGTACCATTGACTTGGAGTGTAAACAGGGATGTGCTTCGAAGCACGCTCTATGACGCTGTACATAGAATCACCCTCGTTTTGAGTGTGCCCCACTTCAAAAAAATTATTTGTTATTTTAATTTTATACTTTGCAGAAGCATACATAAACATTAAAAATATGTATTTATTACG